GACTGGCCGAACTGGGGCCCCGACTGGAACCGAGGCTCGAACGGGAGTTAAAGTCCGGACCGCAGTCGGGTACCGGACTGGAGTCTGGAACCGAACTGGGGCCGGAGGCCGGACTAGGGCAGGAGCCTGGACCGGGGCCCAGGGCCGGATCGGGGCTGAGGGCCGAAGTGGGACGGAGGCTGGGGTCGGGACGAGGGTCCGGACGGAGGCTGGGGCTGAGGCTGGGGTCGGGGCTGAGAGCTGAATCGGGGCTGGGGTCCGGATCGGGGCTGAAGCCGGGGCTGGGGTCCGGACTGGGGCTGAGGCCCGGGCTGAGGGCCGGATCGGGGCTGGAGTCCGGACTGGGCCTGAGGCCGGGGCTGAGGTCGGGGCTGAGGGCCGGATCGGGGCTGGGGTCCGGACTGGGGCTGGGACCTGGGACCGGATTAGGGGAGGGGCCCGGACAGAGGCCGAGTTTTGAACCGGTGCCTGGGCTGGGGCTGGAGTCCGGATTAAGGGAGGGGCTGGGGCCCGCCCCTGGTTGTTCATAAGGGGCCTGTGGGGACCAGTAACCCTGGTCTAGACTCCCGCCCGCCCTCCTCCCAGGGCCGGGAGCACATGCGCACGGGGTTCTGCCTGAGAACGTGCACGTAGGGGGCTCTATTACACCTCGTTCCTTCCGATCTAAGGGGCTAGCGATGCGGTCGCACCCCTAGATGTTGCTTAATGACTCCCACTCTTCAACTGCCAAGGAAGAATGCACACATATTGCCCCAGAATTCTCCGCAGCTCTGTTAATATTCACGTTTCATGAGCTAGGTGCCATGGTGGATGACGCTGGGACAGAGGAGTATAAGAAAATCTCTGGTTTTCTGAGGACTTGCGCTCACCAGGCTCCTTCTGTATTGCTAACTTTTCCCCAATCAGTCTGTGAAATTCTTGATTTTGCTACATATTAGGAGTTGTTTGTGTGGGTGTATAAAATAGCTGTCTTTAGTGGTAATTTTCTGGCCCACCCCCACTGGAATTGTGTAGTGCTACATTTTACAGCTTATTAAGTTTCCTGTCTCAGTAAACTAATGTGTTTTAGTTTGTCTCCAGATCAGTTTTTCTGTCTGTGAACACAAACTTTGAGGAACTTTTTCTCTGGGGAACATGTCCCAACAGGCATTGATTTTTCCTTCATCTTTACTCATGGTGCAAACCTCAGACGCAAGTAATTGAAAAGAATATGGGTTTGATCAGGGAAATCTTAGTGTTGAAGTTGACATCCTTGCTTTTCAGCATTCTGGAGAGGTCCCTACCTACAGACTTTCCCAACACAGCCAACTTCTTCTTGTTGTTATATGCTATCGAGTCGCCTGTGACTCATATGGACCCTATGTACAGCAGCCCTAAACCCTGCTCTATTCTGTGCCAATCTCACTGTCTCCGATACACCTACCCCCATTATCCCAGTCACTGAATCAATCCATCTCACCGAGGGTCTTCCTCTCTTGTACTATCCCTCCACCCTCCCAAGCATGACGTCCCTCTCCAAGAACTGGTCTCTCAACATGTCCAAAGTATGTCAGACAAAGCTTCAGAATCCTGGTCTCACCCTCTCTAGGATGAACCTGTTTGTTCTCTCAGTCATCCATTGTCTATTCAGTACTCCTCCAGCACCACAGCTCAAAGGCATCAATTCTATCAAATCTATCCCTAGTCATTGTCCAGCTTTCTGATGCATAGCAAATAATTAAAAAGACCATGGCCTGCATCAGGTGCACCTTAGTCTCTAGACTGACATCATTGTTATTCAGTACTTTGGAGAGGTGTCTGACAGCAGACTTTCCCAATTCAACTTATCTTTTTAATTTCCTGGCTCTTGGTACAAAGAGTGTTGATTGTGGAGCCAAGCAATCAGAAGCTGCTAACAACCTCAATCTCTTCACCATTTATCATGATGCTACCAATGGGCCCAGTGGTGAGAATCTTTGTTTTCTTGATGTTGAGTTTCATACTGAAGGCTGCAGTCCTTGACCTTCTGCAATGCAGCACAAAAGGAGCTCAATAAATATGAATAGAGTATATCATAGAGTCCAGGAATAGCTGTTAACTAAAGGAGCTCTGCCTTAGTGGGTAAGGAGTTGTACTGCTAACCCAAAGGCAGGCATTCGGAATCCATCAGTAAAAAAGATGGGGTAATATCCTCCTGTAAGATTTACAGACTCTGAAAACATGCTGGAAGGTCAACTATGAGGCAATTCCAACTCAAGGGCAAATTACAACAAACAATGAAACAGAGAGCTGGAGGCAGAGGAAAAAAGGGTTGAAAGAGCCTGGTGGGGTAAGAGTAAGGAGGGAAGACTCATCCAGAAGGGGTCACCTGGGCTCCATCCTAAAGCTATGAGAGTCATGGGAGGGTTAACTAACCTTCAATCTTTTCATTTTAATATACATGTTTTTAAAACAAAGTGCTATGGAGTCTATCCCAATCAGAGGAACCCATGTACTCCATAGCATACACAATGGCTGTATTTTTTCTTCAAGTATACATCAGTTTTTATTTAAAAAAAAAATGAAATTTTTTCCATTCTTGAACATTTTCTTCCCCTCTCCACCAGCCTTCAACTCAGTGCACCTCTTATTCCGGACTCTTGTCATACAATGGCTATACTTTTTCCTTTTGATGTGCTCAGAGATTTAATCTTTAGAAGGTCCCATTCATTAATTTTATCCACTCCAGAGTGTGCATTTCTGCAACTGTTTGTTTGTTTTGTTTTTTCCTTATTGTATACTGTCAAATTGGATCCCACTGGCACAGGAGATTGCCCCTCCTTCTCCGGCGGAGCAACTCATGGAATCGAACCTTTGCCTTTGGGATTGCTGTGCAGCTTCTTGCCACTAGGCCAGCAGAGCTCCCTTATGGCTATACTTTTAAAATAGATCTAGATCACTGGGCCAATCTTCTAAGGTCTACCTAGATGGATTTGAAGAATTAACCTTTTTGTTAAAACTTGTACACACCAGCCAGGGACTCCAATGACAAACCTAGTTTTCTAGGGCATTGTTGTTGTTCTGTACCATCCAGTCAGGAACCGATCTATAGCTGTCCCTCCAGTGCATTTTTCAGAGGCAGTAAACTACAGGAGATTGCCCATCTTTCTCCTGCAGACAGCTGGTGGATCTGAGCCATGTGCTTTTGCAGTGCAATTCTTTACCACTAAGCCACCAGAGCTCGCCCCCTTGTCATTTGAGCAGGGTGGCCCAAACTTTGGGTACACAGTAAGCACATGACAAATCCTGACCACTCAAGAGTAAACCATATCCAGCTGACTCATTCAGACATGGACATGTGACAAGTCAGGGCCAATAAGAGCCTGCCTACACAGTAAGTCCATGGAAATAGCTACTAAAGAAACAAGGCTATATGTGATGCTATACCTCCCACAGCATTTTACTTTTTGTTCTCTTTTGTTATTTCAACCAGTTAAGAGTCCCATCTTCTAGGATTCTTCTAAGGGCATAAAAGCCCCTCCAATAACCCCACCACCAAATACAAAGCAGTCAGACTGACAAATCAAAGTTGATCAAAATAAGAGCCTTTATAGATGTCTTTGTAAAGATGGAACATGGAAAACAGGACATAAATAACCATTATATACAACTATAAAGTTCTCCCAACTACCCCTTCCAGTTTGAACTCCAAAGTGTTTGGGGCAGAGAATGGGCACCATTCAGTAAATACTAAAATATCCAGGCTATGTCTCCAGGGGCAGGTCAGACCTAAAAATAAAATGAGTAGGAGGTATCAGAAAGGGTTGCCCTCAGTTTCTTTTCTCTTTTTTTCCCAATGAATAGAAATCGAGTAAGGGGTTCTGGCTAAGGAGACCCACCGTAACTATTTGAAGCCAGAGGTTTTCCTAGGAGAGGCTAGCTAACTACAGCTCATAGGATAAACAGCAATAGGATACGCTCTGGTGGCCTAGTGGCAAGAAGCTGCACTGCAATCCTGATGGCACACCATTCAAACCCACCAGCTGCTCCACAGAAGAAGGATGGGCAATCTCTCCCCCATGCCATTAACTGCCCTCTGAAAACCCACTGGAAGGTGAAGTGGGAACCCAGTGGAGTAAAGGCTGAGGTTATCCTATAAAAAACTCGCTAACAGCTCAAGGAAAGACAGCAAAGGGATATGAGATAGATTTACATTAAGTGTGAACCCTCTGTTGTCATTAGGTGCTGTGGAGTTGACTGTGACTCGCGACTCTATTAACAACAGTTCTGAATCTTGCCCAATCCTCACCATTTTCACATATAGGAAAATTAGGGTAGGCAGTAAAGCAGGAACTATGTCCAAAGTTTGCAGCCAAAGTAGAGAGGGACAGTTACCTCCCGGGCATAGATAGAAGAAGCAGATATGACATAAACTGCTCGACCATCTCCATCTTCTGAATGACTCCAATCAGCAGACAGGCTGTGGGAGAAAAGATGTAAATTTCTTAATTCTCAGATCTTGTTTTCCCTTACCCACCATCAAGGGGAATTTAAAATCAGGGAAATTGTTCTGGTGATGGCATTGTGGGTAAGAGGTTGTGCTACCAATCCAGAGGAAACCAGTTCTAATCCATCAGCTGCTAGGAGGGAAAAGGTTGGACAATCTCTTATGAGCTGATGACAGTGAGTGAGTCACAGTGGAATTTCGAGCCAATAAGAACAAGGCATTATCTATGTTCCAGCCTCTTACCTTGGACCATCCTCGGAATCCTCTCGTGCCTGCGAGTTGTTAAGAGGATCAGGGAACGCGTGGATGGTTGGCTCTAGGGTTCCTGCCAACAGCCGGGACCCGGTATCCCCGCTAGGAACACGACGTTGCAAGTGGACCACCAAGAGCGCAGCGCCAGCCAAGACCACGGCCATCAGCAATCCCAAAGCTGGGGCCCAAAGGAAGCGCTGCAAGTTCTCCTGCCTAGAGGCCGCCGGTGCCCTGGGCAGTGCTCTCGCGCTGTCATCCGCGCGGCTGAGGTGCACCGGGAACTCGCACCGAGCGCCCATGTAGCCCGGCGCGCAGGCGCAGATGAGGCCAGAAAAGTGGGCGTAGCAGCGGCCACCGTGAGCGCAGGGACGCGCGGCGCACGGGTCGGCGCGCTCCCGGCAGTCACGGCCCCCGAAGCCCAGTGCACAAGAGCAGCGGCGCGCGCCGCCACCCTCCAGGCACGTGCCGCCATTGGCGCAGGCGCGGCCGGCGCAGTCGTCCAGGTCGTGCTCGCAGCGCGGACCCGCGAAGCCCGCACGGCAGCGGCAGCGCAGGGCATAGCCCAGGTCCAGGCAGAGCCCGCCTGCGGGGAAACGGGTGTTAGGGGGCACAGCCTAGGACAGACGGTCTCCCCAAGTCTCCCTTCCTGTCCTGTTACTCAAGTCTGTTATCCCTGCCCCCACCTTTCTCTAGTGAGCACCATCTCTCTCTAAGGGCTGGCCTCTTGGCTGTTTTATCTACCTGCAAAGCCAGCCCGATGCCGAGTACACTTGGTGACAGCTTAGGTTAGCCTAGCCTTCGCTCTCTGCTTCATCACACTTGGGTCGTCTTGCCCGCCACGCCACCCACCCTGGTCCTGGCGTCCCCGCCTCACCGTTCCGGCATGGCTGCAGGCTGCAGCGGTCCACCCTCTTCTCACAGTTTGAGCCTTGGAAGCCGGGCGGGCAGTGGCATACGTAGGCAGAGTCCGGGTCCGCTCCCCCGACACACAAGCCGCCATTGAAGCAGGGTCCATCTGCGCATGTCACTCCACTCACCTCGCACCGCAACCCGTAGAAGCCCCGGGGACAGGCGCACTCGAAGGAGCCTGGTGTTTCCTGGGAGGGCAAGAAGTCCTTGGATGATCAAGGGAGTGAAATTCCATGCTCCAACTCTTGACTCTTGACTAATGGAGTCCTTTTCCAGTCACACCCCTCACCATGCAGGCTCTTCTTCTGGGAAGTCCTCCCCTAGAAAACCCCTCCTCTCCAAGTTTCTGTGTCTACCCACAGGGCCCAGGCATCCAACTGCCACCTCTACACCTTTGCCCACCGAATGCTGGTGCCCCCAAATCTCCCTCATAACCTCTTAATTTCTCCTTCCCTCACTTGAACCGGACTCTTAACTATTCCTCAGTGGCAGTGCCTAAGTGGTCCCCATTAGGCTCTCTTATCCCACTGCCACTCACTTGCCATCTACCCAATTCCAGTGCGAATCGCTAATCTACCTTCTCACTTATTACACTCAGGCACACTTCAAAGGACCCAGCCCTGGGCCCACCTCCTCCAGAAAGCCTGTTCTCATCCCACCTAGGCCCATCATTGGCTACATTTGGTCTCCCGTTCTCTAGCCTCATTATTCCAGCCTCCCCAATATTAAGTACTACCCACTGGATCTGCCTCCCCTGGTCCCATTGTTATCACCTTATCCAACTTCAGGGTCCCAGATGCAGGCTGAATGCCTCCAGGAAGCCCTCCTTGACAGCTACCCCCAGCTCTCCAACCCACTGGGTGTCACATAGAGTTCCAGAGACACAGAAGTGGACACTCCAGGATAGAGTAGGAATCAGGGCAAGGTGAGGTTGGGGTAATACTAACAGTACAGCTGCCGCCATTGGCACATGGGTTCCTGTCACATGGCCCAGGCCCTGGTATAAGGCATCCAGCGGTGGCAGAAGATGGGCCCCTGGGACCGAGGCAGCTACTGCTTGACACTGGGACTGTGCAAAGAGGTCCTTCCCAGCCCTGGAGGCACTGACATTCATTGGGCTGCTCACAGAAGCCGTGCTCTAGGCTGCAGCCAGCTCGACAGGCCACAACCTCTGCAGGGGACAGAAGAGGCAGAGAGAAGAGAAACAGGTGGTAGTAACTGGAGAAATCTCTGAGTGTTTCCCACACACTATCTTGTTTCATCCCTGTGACAACCCTCCAAACCAATTCCATTTACAGAGAGGGAAACTGATCCCCAGAAAGAGGGAGTGATCATCCAGTTAGTGGAGGAGCAAGGATGTGAACCCCAGACCACCAGGGTCCAGAGTCTGTGCTCTGGGAAAGATGGAGGGGAAAAGCTCGCGTGCAGGTCTGGTTTTGGGTCAAAGAGTGAGGGGAGAGAGATTAATGACTGGGAAGACAAGGGAGGGCCCACCTGGCTCGTGGCTTGGCGGGGGGTGGGGGGGTGTACAGGTCTGGAGGTCCTGAATGACCTCAGCGGGCTTTTGCAATATAGGGCGAGATCTAAGAAGATCCAGGGTAAGAACTCCCAGGCTTCAAAAAGCAAGGAGATCTCTCCTACAATAACAGAAAGGAATGTTGGAAGAGTCCCTTGGTTGGGGGCTGGGGGGTTGATAAACTTTTCTAAATCCCTAGCTGGAGTAGAAAGGTCTCAATTAGAAAAGCCTTGCATTTCTCAAATTAAAACAACTATGAGATATCATTTCACCCCAGTCAAAATAGCAAAATTTAACAGAACAGCAAGCAACAAATGCTGGCGAGGTTGTGGAGAAACTGGAACCCTGATTCACTGTTGGTGGGAGTGTAAAATGGTGCAACCCCTGTGGAAAGCAGTATGGCGCTTTCTCAAAAAGTTGCAAATAGAGATACCATTTGACCCAGCAATTCCACTACTGGGAATATACCCTGAAGAGACCATAGCTGACATCCAAGCAGATATATGCACACCCATGTTTATTGCAGCTTTGTTCACAATAGCAAGGAGTTGGAAACAACCTAAGTGCCCATCAACAAACGAATGGCTAGAGAAGCTGTGGTATATTCGCACAATGGAATACTATGCTGCATTAAAAAACAAGGAACTCATGCAATATTATGCAAAATGGATGATGCTGGAGGACATTATACTGAGTGAAATATCCCAGTCACAAAAGGACAAATATTACATGATGCCACTGTTGTAGAATGGGACTGTCCTTGGGGTTGGGGAGAGACTGAGTAAGATGGGTTCAATAATGTATACTGCACTGAAACAGAGGAGGGAGAAAACTGTTTAAAAGAGATATATAACTAGGTATTTCTGTCATCACAGGAGACTAGAGCGAGGGCTACATGGTGGAGGGGACCTGGGGGAGGGTTTGTAAAACAATGAAAGAATCTTTTCTTTTACTTTTCCATAATTTCTGGACTCATGTACTTATAACTTGTTAGTCAAATTTGTGTCTTCTAGGTTGCAACACCCCCATGATACATCTTCAAGGATATGAACATGTACGGCCAAGCACAATCAATAAGAGTGCATCTAAATTCCAAAATCAATCTCCATAATAGTTTATGTGTTTCCTACTGCCAAAGGGGCCCTTTAGAGTAGTGAGAGAAGATCTTCACCCTGAAACCCACAGCGTCCCTTTTCAGCAGGAAGTAGCTAAGAGAATACGCCATCCCCTTTTCCTTATGACTCAGGGTGAAGTCTCTCTCAGGGAGGAGTGATAGGGAATGGCAAAGGACACACTGACAAAGAAGATTAATCAGAACTGGCTTTGACAAGCACTGTGGCATTTGGACAAGAACAAACTGGGAGGAGGGTAGAGAGAATAGTGCAACAATGAATGAATGGAAACCCAAAATCCCTGTAAATGTTTATGAAAATTAATAAAATATAGAAAAAAAAATGTAAAAAAAAAAGCCTTGCATTTCTAAAGGGTTTGCATGTGGGAAGTAAGCGTGGGATTCCTATTGGGGCAGACTAGTGCTGGGAAGAAACACAGGAAGAGAAGCTAGATCGTGAGTAAGGGACAGAAAACTGAGCAGAGCTGAAGAAGGTCTGGATACAAGGACTCCTCACTTCCTTGGAAAGGGGTGTCTGAGGTACTTGGGAAAGACTCTGGGACCCCGGTTACCTTGAGAGAGTCGATAGGCTATATAAGAAGGGATTGGGAGGTGGAGGGGAATGAAAGTAACTAAGGAGAGTCGAGGTATGGGGCAGGATGAGGCGAAGGTGAAGAAGGACCACTCACGGGGCTCGGTGCATTCGTCCTCGACAGGAGCGCAGGGCCGCTGTTCAGGGCCGCACCGCGAGGGGGCGCTGCGGGGGCGGCAGAGGCGCGTGCACGAGGCCCCGACAGCTGGAGGCTCACAGCGCGCGCGGTACGAGAAACGCAGCTCCCAGCCTCCCGCGCTCTGAACGTCGGTAGCCCAGGGGCCTCCGGCCTCCAGGCGCCACCGTCCTGCCACGCGCGACAGCAAGCTCCAGCCCGGTCCTGTCGGGACAAGGCAGAGGGTTGGAGGGGACTGACCCGACAGCGAGACTCAGGTTTCGAAAACCAGACTGACTTGCAGTCTCACCAAATAACAAACCCACTGCCCTCAGGTCCTTTTCAACGCATGGTGATCTTGCTTAGACTCTATTGTTGTGCACTGTGGAGTCTGAATCGACTCATAGCTAACCCTTCAGAGAGTTTTTAGAGGCAGTAGATCCCACGGAACAGCTGGTGGATTTGAACAGAGAGTGCATCTCTGCAATGGCCGTGCAATTCCTTACGGCTAAGACACCAGTGCTCCTTTCCTTCAATTCTAGCAGATCAAAAAGACTTTTACCCTGCCTTGGGGTCATTTGACATGGCAACAGTAGCAGTTACTTACTTGTTATTTGTTGTTGTTATGTGTCATTGAGTCTACTCAGACTCATAGAGACCTTATAAACAACAAATCTGAACAGGGTCCTATCCTAATCTCACATGCCTGCCCCCATTACAACAGTAACTTGTGTCAATGCATCTCATCCAGGGTCCTCCGCTCCTGTGCTGGCCCTCCATACGTCTAAGCACAATGTCCTTTCCAAGTACCTGTTCCGTGTACAGGCTGGGTTTAGAAGAGGCTGTGGCCACCACAACAAGATAAAGGTAAACAACCCAATTGAAAAAATGGCACAGGATTTGGACAGACACTTCACCAAAGAAGACATTCAGATGGCAAGCAAACACATGAAGAAATGTTCAAAATCCCTAGCTCTAAGAGAGATGCAAATCAAAACAACTATGAAATATGATCTCACTTCAGTAAGAATAGCAAAATTTAACAGAACAGCAAGCAACAAATGCTGGTGAGGCTGTGGAGAAACTGGAACCCTTATTCACTGTTGGTGGGAGTGTAAAATGGTGCAACCACTGTGGAAGGCAGTATGGAACTTTCTTAAAAAGTTGCAAATAGAAATACCATTTGACTCAGCAATTTCACTACTGGGAATACACCCCAAAGAGACCATAACTGACATCCAAGCAGATATATGCACACCCATGTTTATCGCGGCTTTGTTCACAATAGCAAGGAGTTGGAAACAACCTAAGTGCCCATCAACAAAGGAATGGATAGAGAAGCTGTGGTATATTCACACAATGGAATACTATGCTGCATTGAAAAACAAGGAACTCATGAAATATTATGCAAAATGGATGATGCTGGAGGACATTATACTGAGTGAAATATCCCAGTCACAAAAGGACAAACACTGCATAGTGGCACTGTTGTAAAACGGGACTGACATCAGGGTTAGAGTGACCCTGAGAAAGATGGGATAAATTATGTACACTGCATTGAAACAGATGAGGGTGAGAACTGTTTAAAAGAGATATACGATTAGGTATTATTGTCATGACAGGAGTCCAGAACGAAGGCTGCATAGTGGACTTGGGAGGAGGGATTGTATAACTATGAAAGAATTTTTCTTTACTTTTCAAAGAGAAGAGCAAACTAGGTGGGGGGAGGTTGTGCAGGGAGAAAAGTGCAGCAATGAATGGAAATCCAAAGTCTCTATAAACTTTCATTAAAATTAATTTTTTTTTAATTTAAAAACAAAGAAGAGGCCATGGCACTAAGGACATTATAGCCAATGTTAGCTGGATCTTGGCCGAAAGCAAAGAGTACCAGAGAAAGAATGTCTGTATGTGTTTCATGGATCCACTGTGTGGATCAAAACAAATTGTGGCTGACCTTGAGAAGACTGGGGAATCCCAGAGCACTTAATTGTGCTCATGTGAAACCTATACTTAGACCAGGAAAACAGTAGCCAGAACAGAACAGGGAAATCCTGTATGGTTTAGAATCAGGAAAGGTGTGTGTCAGAGATGCATCCTATCTCCATACCCTATTAATCTATATCCAGAAGAGATCATTCAGGAAGTTGGACTTTATTAGAAGGAATGTGGCATCAGGATTGGAGAAAGACTCATCAACAACTTGTGTTATGTAGATGATACAACTTTGCTTGCCAAAAATGAGGAGGATCTGAAGCATTTGCTGCAGAAGGTCAAGGACTTCGGTCTTCAATATGAAGTGCAACGTCAAGAAAAAAAAGATTTTCACCACTGGGCCAATTGGCAGCTTCATGATAGATGAAGAAGAGATTGAGATTGTTAATAACTTCAGCTCGCTTCATTCCACAATCAACACCCTTGGCACCAGGAGTCAGGAAGTAAAAAGATAAATTGCCCTGAGAAAGTCTGCTGTCAGGGACCTCTCTAGAGTACTGAAGAACAATGATGTCTGTCTGGAGACTAAGGTGTACCTGTACAGGCCATAGTCTTCACAACTACTTGCTATGCATCAGAGAACTGGACAGTAACTAAGAATGATAGAAGAAGGATCGATGTCTTTGAGTTGTCATGTTGGAGAAGAGGGGTGAACATACTGTGGACTGCCAAGAGAACAAACAGGTGTGTCCTGAAGAGGGTGAAACCAGGCTGCTCCATAGAGGCAAGGATTTTGACTCTCTGTCTCACATACTGTGGGCATGTGGCCAGAAGGAACAAGTCCTTGGAGAAGGACATCATGCTTGGAAAAGTAAAGGGACAGCACAAAAGAGGAAGACCCAGGAGGAGATGGATTGAATCAGTGACTGGAGAAATTAGGTCTGTTGGAGACGATGAACTGGCTCATGATAGGGTGGCATTCAGAGCTAATGTACATAAGGTTGCTATGAGTTACAGGTGACTCGATGGCACATAACAACAACACGCACCCTAAGGTTGGACAATTACTAAGGAAGACTGAAAAATAACAGATGCCTTCATATTGTGATATCAGCAGAGTACCGAATATCCCATGGACTGCCAAAAGAACAAAGAAATCTGTCCTGGAGTGAGTGCAAGCAGAGTGCTCCTTAGAGACAAAGATAGTGACATTTCACCTCACATACTTTGAGCATGTTGTCAGAGAGCAAGTCTTGGAAAAGAAATTTTGCTAGGAAAGACAGAGGATCAGCAAAAGGGAGAAAGACCTTAAATGAGATAGACAGACATAGTGACTGCAATAATGGGCTTGAGCATGACTGAAATCATGAGAATGATGCAAAACAGAGTGTGGTTCTGATCTGTTATTCTTAGAGGTGCTATGAAGTGTGATCTACTTGACGGCACCTAACAACAACAGCAGCATCCTATGACACCTGATATTTCTATATGGTGAAGAGACCAAAGCACACACACCACATTGTGCTTTAGGATTTCCTGTATCAAAATAATGACAGAAATCCCAATTACTACAGGCAAATTACATAAATTACTCATCTTGTACCCTAAGATCTTGAAATATCAGGACAGTGACAGTGACAGCACAGCTGTTACCCCTGCGATAGATTGAGTTACTTCCCTACATGTCAAGCTCTGATGCCTTAGTAGTAAAGAGTTGGGCTGTTGACCCAAAGGCAAGTGATTTGAAACCACCAGGAGCTCCTCAAGAGAAAGACGGGCAAAAACAAAGAACTCATGAAATATTATACAAAATGGATGACCATGGAGGACATTATGCTGAGTGAAATAGCTCAGTCACAAAAGGACAAATACTGCATAATGCCACTGTTATAGAACAGGACTGACATGGGAGTTGGGGAGAAACTAAGAAAAGAGGGATAAATAATGTACACAGCAGTGAAACAGACAAGGGACATAACTGTATAAAAGGGATACATGATTAGGTATTAATTGGCATGACAAGAGTCCAGAATAAGAGCTGCATAGTAAAG